ATGATGGCTGCCACGGTGCTTCGGCGCGCTTCGTTTTTTGTTGTTTTTGTTAATTATGTTTCCTGCTGCGATTCCCGGAGCTCTTTCACAAGAGATGAGCTCTTGAACATCCGTGGAACAACTCCAACGGAGTTACTTCCAACTTTTCTGCTATCTTCCGTGGACATTATAGTCAAAGGTGCGCTCACCTTTCGTCACGTGGTGAGACGCCGTAGGTGAGGAAAACGGGCCGGCTCGCTGGTGAGACTCCGCAAGCGTGGTTCTCGCACACCGCTGCCAGGCATCTTTCTCTCCAACGTGCGCTCACTATGCAACAAACTGCACGAAATTCAGCTGCTGGTGAGGAGAGACAGAGACTTCTCTACATCCTCCGTTTTGTGCTTCACGGAGACGTGGCTCTGCGGATCGATACCGGACTCCGCGCTCCAGCTGGCGTGCTTCCAGCTGCTCCGAGCGGACCGCGACACGGAGCTCTCCGGCAAGACAAAGGGTGGAGGAATCTGCCTCTACTTCAACAGCAGCTAAAACACTGTTCTCCTGATCTGGAAACGTTCTTCATCAACTGCAAACCATTTTATTCCCCCCGTGAGTTCGCTTCATTCATCCTGGTCGGTGTTTACATGCCGCCGGCGGGAAACATGCACGAGGCACAGCGGACACTCGCCGACCAGATACGGCGTGTGGAGCGGACCAACCCGGACTCTTTAGTTATTGTCCTCGGGGACTTTAACAAAGGAAATCTCACCCATAAACTTCCTAAATACAGACAGTTTATTTAATGCCCCACCAGAGAGGAGAACACGCTGGATCACTGTTACACCACAGTAAGCAGGGCTTATCACGCCGTCCCTCGTGCTGCACTGGGACACTCTGACCACATCATGGTCCATCTGATTCCTGCATACAGGCAGAAACTAAAGCTCTGCAAACCTGTGGTGAGGGAATTCAAGAACTGGACCAGTGAGGCGCTGGAGGATCTTCGGGCGTGCTTTTGACTGCACCGTCACTGCTACTGACAGTCTGAATGAGTTCACAGAGGCTGTAACTTCCTACATCGGCTTCTGTGAGGACAGCTGTGTACCATCATGCACCAGGGTGAGTTACAACAACGACAAACCCTGGTTCACAGCGGAACTCAGAACATTACGTCTGCAGAAGGATCAGGCATTTAGGAGTGGGGACAGAGATCGGTACACAGAGTCAAAATACAAGTTTAGCAAGGCGGTGAGAGATGCTAAACGACTGTACTCTGAGAAACTCCAACAACAGTTCTCAGCAAGTGACTCTGCTTAGATTTGGAGAGGCCTCAAACACCTCACTAACTACAAGCCAAAAACCTCCCACTCCATGAATGACCTCCGCCTGGCAGACGAGCTGAACGAGTTCTACTGCAGATTTCGAAAGTCAATGTCCTGATCCCATCCCCCACAGCTCCACCAACCTGCTGCAGTCCCCCTCCCCTCCCTCCACCAGCCCATCAGGGGCTCACGCTTCTGTATCTTTATCACCTTCCCCTCCCTCACCAGCAACGACCCTCTCTATTCTGGAGAGAGACGTTAACCGGCTCTTTAAGAGACAAAACCCCCGTAGGGCAGTCAGACCGGACGTCTCCCCTCACACCCTGAAGCATTGTGCTGACCAGCTGTCTCCGGTGTTCACTAACATCTTCAACACCTCCCTGGAGACATGTCACGTACCAGCCTGCTTCACGGCCTCCACCATCATCCCTGTTCCCAAGAAGCCCAGGATCACAGGACTCAATGACTACAGGCCCGTCACCCTGACCAGTCATGAAGTCTTTTGAACGGCTAATCCTGACCCACCTGAAGTCCATCACCGACCCCCTCCTGGACCCCCTGCAGTTCGCCTACAGAGCCAACAGGTCTGTGGACGATGCTGTCAACATGGCCCTCCACTACATCCTCCAGCATCTGGACTCCCCAAGAACCTACGCCAGGATCCTGTTTGTGGACTTCAGCTCTGCCTTCAACACCATCATCCCGTCTCTGCTGCAGGACAAACTCTCCCAGCTGCACGTGCCCGACTCCACCTGCAAGTGGATCATAGACTTCCTGTCTGACAGGAAGCAGCACGTGAAGCTGGGGAAACATGTCTCAGCCTCTCGGACCATCAGCACCGGTTCCCCCCAAGGCTGCGTTCTTTCCCCTCTGCTCTTCTCCCTGTACACCAACAGCTGCACCTCCAGCCACCAGTCCGTCAAGCTCCTGAAGTTTGCGGATGACACCACCCTCATTGGACTAATCTCTGGTGGGGACGAGTCCGCCTACAGGTGGGAGTCTGACCATCTGGTGTCGTGGTGCAGCCAGAACAACCTGGAGCTCAACGCTCTAAAGACAGTGGAGATGGTTGTGGATTTCCGGCGGAACAGAGCCCCACCCTCTCCCATCACCCTGTGTGACTCCCCCGTCACTATTGTGGATTCCTTCCGTTTCCTGGGCTCCATCATCACCCAGGACCTCAAGTGGGAGCTGAACATCAGCTCCATCACCAAGAAGGCTCAGCAGAGGTTGTTCTTCCTGAGGCAGCTGAAGAAACTCAACCTGCCAAAGACGATGATGGTCCACTTCTACACGGCCATCATCGAGTCCATCCTCTGCTCCTCCATCACCGTCTGGTACGCTGCAGCCACAGCCAAGGACAAGGGCAGGCTTCAGCGTGTCATCCGCTCTGCAGAGAGGGTGATCGGCTGCAATCTGCCGTCCCTGGAGGACTTGTTCGCTTCCAGGTCTCTGAAGCGAGCTAAAAAGATCGCGGCCGACCCCTCCCACCCCGGACATAAACTGTTTGTGCCCCTTCCATCTGGCAGGAGGCTGAGGTCCATCAGGACTACGACCTCCCGCCACACGAACAGTTTCTTCCCGTCGGCAGTCGGGCTCATCAACAGAGCCCGGTCCCCCACTGCCTGACTATAACACTCCACCGGTCACTCCCCTTCACACTGCACATGCCACTTTAACTGTAACTCATCACTGTCACTTGTCACTTTGTCTCTTGTCTGTTACTTGTTTGTTAGTGCACTTCATGCTTAATACTTTTCTTTTTAACTTTTTAATATTTAAAATTTGTTTAACTTTATTCCCTTGTTTTTTACTAACCCATAGCCTTAGCCTTATTCTTACTAACCCATTGCATTAGCATTTCATTCCACTTTATTTTATTACCGGTGCACTGTTGTCTTGTCTGTCTACTGTCGCGCACTAACCGCCAAGACAAATTCCTTGTATGTTTGACATATTTTGGCTAATAAATGTTTCCTGATTCCTGATTCCTGATTCCTGATTCCTCAGTGGATGTCCGCCCACCATCTGAAAATCAACCCCGACAAGACTGAACTACTTCTCTTTCCCGGAAAAGATTCGCTTACCCAGGACCTGACAGTCAACTTTGGAAACTCCGTACTAACGCCCACTTTGACCGCTAAGAACCTCGGCGTCACACTCGACAGCCAACACTCCCATTATTACAAAATATATTAACATAATACTCAACATATTGATGAAAAGCAGTAATTATTGACTTACTCTGAGACAGTTGGTCTTTTAAAAAGTCTCTTGCCTTAGTTAGCTCTTTGATCAGGTCTTCCTGACATGCTATCTTCATCTTCATCAGCTCCAGCTCATGTGTATGCTTCTGGAGCTTGGCAGTGGGGGCCATTTGGGCATCACCTGACATTGGCACAAAAAATAACAATTCGGGGCTCCAGGAGGGTGTATAAAGATGCAATAATTATAGACACAGGGAAAAAATCACAACACAAATCACAGTACATAACGTTAAAGAGGAATGAAATGCCATGCTATTAAAATGTTGCTGTGGTAGCCTAATATTTGTTACAAATATCATCAACATATGGTCATTAAAAAGGATATTTGGTAGTTACATTAAAAAGGCTGATTTCCATACAAAATTTAAAAAGAGAGCAGCAGTAATGGCTATAAAGCACATATTTGGGTTTCCAGTTATATGTATTGATAATGATGCATTTTATCTTGCAATCTGTTTACATAATATTGACATTAATTAAAAGAAAGTTAAAAAGTCTTGAAATATCCCGTAATAACACTCTACAGATGTTAATTTTCATTATTTGACTCAAATCACTGCTGTATATTAAAGTGTAAACGACAGCAAATGTCATATGCAGAAATGTTTAAAGGACATACCAGACAGTGTATATATTTTCTAAAATATATATTTTCACAATATAAATTGCATACAGCATATCCGGAGACAAAATAAGTTTGCAATTACTGTTACAAGAAGCATAGACAGCGTTTTTCATGCAACCAAGTAGGCTATCCTATATCATAGCCACATGTCAGGTGTTTGTAACAAAAAAAAAACAGAAAATCGGCACTTGATTGCTCACTGATAGACAGAGACCGACTTGTGACTGCTAACGTGCTTCCATCACTCAATGGGCAGCAGCAGTCATGCGCGTAGCTTTAGCTAGCTAGCTAGTAGCTGGATGCGTGTTTGACTTTGCACTAAATAGTTAGTAGCAGTTAAACTTACCAGAGAAGTTAGCCTCACTACGCTTATAGCTCACTAATAAGTGAGTTTACCAGGATGGCACTCCAAGACAAAGTCAGAAAACTGATTTTTGAAGGTTGTTCGTGGAGAAAAACGTTGGAGCTAATTAAATTCCTTCGGAAAAAAATAAAAAATCAAATGCCGCATCTGTCACCAGCTGAAGTTGACAAAGAACAAGGACAGAGACCATTACAGCTGGTAATATCTTTTTCTTAACTATTTTTATAAAACAGCGATATTGACTAAGCAGTTTTGTGCTTATTCTTGCATTATTTAGCCGGCATTATAAGGGACGCAAATGTATTTGGAAGATGGATGCTTAACCAACCTATTTGTTAGATGCATTTAGTGCACACAATTAAACCGGCCATCAGCCAAATCCTGGTGAAATATGCACTTACCGGCCAAAAAAACAGTTCAATGCCTTGTCAAATTCGGACATTCACCGTGATTGATGCACAGTAATGATATTCTCTCAATCATATCAATAACCTGTTTATTTACTGTGTGCGCTTACTAAGGACTTGCCAGCGAGCAGTGCACCGAGGGACCAAGACAGTGAAATCAATTAGGGACCAATCTCTTTTCAGTAAGTCCAGACTTTCACTCTTTCAGTGGATGCAGTTCATTTATAGGTGATACATTTCAAAGTGCTACATTACTTCGAAAAGCTTTTTGAAAAAAATGTAAACTCATGATGTGTTATGTATTCTATAGATTTTCACAGGGCCTACGTCTCAGACAGGTTGATATGATGGAGGACAATATTGCTGCAAGTACTGCAACCCTCTTCAAGATGGCCAAAAAACTAAGGTCTGCAGAAGGGCTGTTGAGAGAATGAGACGACGAAAAGGACAGCTCATTGGTGGACAGCGGGAATTTGTTGTAATTGATGAGAGTCATTTCCGCCATAAGAGAAAGGTGTGTAGAGCTGCAATAAAAGGCTTGCTGTAAATGGTTTGTGATGCTAATTGATTGTAAAAACACCGTCTCAATTAGTGGGCTGGACAGAATTTTCATTAAAATGAATGTTTTTGGTTACTTGTACCATAAAGCTTACAGTAAACGTTCTCAGTCTACTTTCAGTCTGCATGTATAAGTATTCTCATATTGTTTTTCATATATGCAAAACAAAACAACCATTATCGTTATCATGTAATTTGTATATGATCGCACTGGAAAAAGTAAAAATACATTGATTTCTTACATTTAGTTCATCATAGGTCGTCATGTAGTTTGCCTAAAGGTTGGTCAATACACCACAGGAGCTATTTATGTTTCTTTCTATTTTTTTAACAGTATGGGAGAGGAAGAATGGGGGTCAATGGGTCTTCGGCATGCTAGGTGTGCAGCAGCAGAGGTGCAAGAGAGCAAAGCCAGTGCTGCGCCTTGTAGAAAGAAGAGGACGACAAGACCTTCTCCCACTGAATGCACATCATGTCAGGATAGGATCAAACATCATTAGTGATGAATGGCGTGCTTTTCGTTCCCTCCTTGCACTTGGCTACAATCATATGACTGTGAATCACGCAAGGTGGTATGTAGATCCCCAAACAGGTGCCCTCACACAGCACATAGAAAGAGCCTGGCGTGGCATTAAGGAGCTTTTTGGAAGTTTGGAGGCAAAGAGGTCATCAAACCGAATGCTTACTGTCTGACCATCTTTGTCTTATTGAGTGGACTGAATGGCTAAGCAGGACACACAAAGATGGTCCTCTTGGTAGGATACTACATGATGTAGCTAACAGGTACAGGGTATAGGCTACAATGGAGGCTAAATAGTGGGAGTGGATCACAATTTAATTTCCATTGCTGCCCCTGAAAGGTTTGCTGAGTTTAGAGATCAGAATACAGGAAAGCACATGGTGATTTTACTGGGAAATATCTAGATGCCATCCGCGACTGTCTAGATATTGTTGACACAGTTCGGGCACTGAAGAAATCAGAAAAACTGTTGCCTGTTGGAAAGGAGAATTGTGAATTGATGTTGTGCTGATGGACCATGTTTTAAAACAAAATAATAATCTACCTCAGTTTTATTGTGCACTTATTGATGGAGATATTGATCAGGTCTATGATCTGCATATTGATGGAGGTATTGATCAGGTCTATGATCTAAATATTGACAGAGGTATTGATCAGGTCTATGATCTGTGTATTGATGGTGGTATTGATCAGGTCTATGATCTACTTATTGACAGAGGTATTGATTATGTCTATGATCTGCATATTGACAGAGATATTGATCAGGTCTATGATCTGCATATTGACGGAGGTATTGATCAGGTCTATGATCTGCTTATCGACGGAGGTATTGCTCAGCTGCTCTCACCTCAGGGGGGACATTTGTTCCTGGCAGACGGACCCATTGTTGCTGTCGGCCAGTGTTAATTTCATCGATGAAAATTTTTCGTTAACAACCTTTTTTTCCATGACTAAGACGAGTCGAAAACTATCTTAAAAAATAAAAAATATGACTAAATCTGTTCTAATTTTGGTTAACGAGACGAGACGAAAATATTGGTGGAAAAAAATGTTGGAAATATACGGTTTCATTTAGTTAAATATTCTTTTTAAAATGACAATATGTTCTTTGTTAAGAAGTGAGTAGATGAGTGATATAAAGAAAACAATAATAAACAAACAATTCAAATCAATAAACCAGCATGCATAATAAGGAAGACGCAAACAAATTCAAACAAAATAACAAAAAGCAAAAGACCCACATGCAATATGTACAACAGTTAATACAATATAGAGAGCCAGTTTTGTACCAGTTTCCAGAACAGAACAGCTTCAGTGGGGGAGGGAGAACGCGCTGGGGAATATTGGCCCTTTAATTAGTCGTGGCACCAGGATAGCCCCACAATAGCATGTCCAAGGCTGCAGCCCGGTCCAGCTGTGTTGTGAAACACACCGTTAGAACACGACCGCAATGAATGTACAGCAAACAGGCAAACACAGCAACTTACCCAATTACAGTACAGGTCGCCCACGGACCCCGGCGGTGGCACCCACCTCGCACACACACACACTCACAGACAGCGGCCCACACTGTTTTAATAACGCCCAAATGTGTCGAAAGAGGGAGGCATGCATCGTACCGAGACACCGAACGCCAGCAGTCCAGGCATACATCCACCCATACAGGGACATCCATGACCAAGACAGTGTCGCTATATGAAAGAATGCACATTAGTGCCGCATACACGGCGACACAGGACAATAAAAGGCACAAAAGATGGGGAAAGTGCCCTTACCACACCGCAGCAGAATGATGATCTAGGGCAGCGGCCAAAACATAAAGCACGCCTCCCAGACACGTCTCCACAGACACCCAGCAGGAGAAGACAACAGAACGAGTCCACACACCACAGGCTTAAGTAATGTCCCCGCCACTCCCAATCAATCGGAATTAGCCCCAGGTATGCTGGTCCACACCCCTATGTGCAGGTAAGAGGGAGGGGAAAAATCTGGTCAAATCTGGTCACATAAGCAACATAGACACGTGTAATGGGAAAATGCCATTGACCAGATGGCAAAGACAGTTATATGTGACCCTTTTAAATGCTTCATTTGTATAACCAGTTTATTAGTTGCAAGTGCTTAGGTCACAAAGGCCCTGACATACAAACTGATGTCTCCCACTTGGATTAGATGTTTCCAGCGTCATAGCTGTAGAGATTGAACAAAGTGTTTGTTATGTCTATGACCACCTTTGTTTTAGCATGTTGGGAGAGCAAGGATACGGTCAAAGAACTGATGTGTCTCACATGGACAAGGTGTTCCCAGTACCCTGGCTGTAGAGACTCAACAAGATGGTTAACGGTTTCTGTTGACGCCACCGATATCTAAGTTTAGGTATAAGAACTGCCTCGATGTGTTGGGAAGAAAAAGGAGGTTCTTGACAGTCTACTGACCACGTAGCTGTTGTGACCCTTTTTCCCTTGCAAGGAAATAAACGGAGAAAAGACATACTTGACTCAGAGCCTTTGATTCTTACTTAACGATTGTCTGTGCAAAATCTTCCACCACACACGTGTCACACACGTGACAGGTGGAGGCTTTTGATAGAACTGCGCAATGCAGGTGAAGGATGTGGCGGCACAGAGCAGGTGGAGGAAAACCCGCAGGACACAAGAGAGAAGAACTGGTTATGAAACCAAAAAATAAACAAAGAGACAAATAGAAAGAAAAGACTGTTGAATGAAAGTGGGGTTCCAGTTTAGAATGGCTGGTTTATGATGCAGCCAAGAAAATAATGTATTGCAACGATTGTAGGACGTTAAGGAGTCTCGTTTGTTGGGACAAGCAATTTCACAGTGGAAACAATAAAGGACCATGAAGTTTCCGGTGGCCAAAAGCATTGCAAGTAAACAGACAAAGACAATAAAGTGTTGCGTTTAGATCCCTGGTCCTCATGAAGTTGTTACACCTTTGCCAATTTGTTAAATTGCCTTGCAAATAAATGCTTTGTTATTTGTTAAAATCCAAATCCTTTCATGTAATGATTTTTCACATGTAATTTATGTTAGCTCACACAAACACTTTTGTCATTTGTTCTTGGCTCGGCTCCTCCATCAAATTTTACAACCCATTGTGGCCCACGAGTCAAAAAGTTTGCCGGCCCCTGCTATAGACTTGTCCTAGGAGGGACATCTAATGGACAACCAAGTACTGCAAGTGTTAGGGATTTAAACAAGAAGTGCACCCCTAGTGGTGGAAATTATAATACGTGTAATAATGTTTAGTGTTATTAGATATTAGTTATTACAAAAGCATGTTAGATGAAGTGAATGCATGCTTGGTTATATTCACTTATTGAGGCATGAAGCCAAATGTATCCACATTGAATGTGTTGGACAGATAGGACAGAGAGGATTTAGGTTGCAGCTGCAGCTTCACACCTCGACGTGAAGGGGACAATCCAGGAGGAGACACTTTGAAGAAGAAGCCAATGACATTCAAACGCAGCCAAGAAGACACACCTCAAGAGTTTTCAAATGACCAAAGCGGGGAAAGGAATGTTAGAATTTTCCTGCAGCCGCTTTGATGAGTCACATTAGACTTGCTCAGAGAATTCTCTATTACTGCATAGTTTAAGTCTTCATCTTATAACTAGTACACTTTAATTACAACACATCATTAGGGGTGCACTTCTTGCTTAAATCCCTAACAATTTCCTCCTTGCTCACAGTTCACTGTGAGCATCTCTCAAGGACTGAAAAATGATCATACAGTCACATCCGTCAACAGTGATTGTCCCTCATCATCTACTCGCTACCGATTTCCCTGTATACTATTCTCACTAAGTGCAGTATCGACCAATCCCTGCAGGAATCCAGGGATGCAGGAGATGCAGCTTCATCCATAGTGGACTAGATCATGACTGTAACACAAGAAGGGTTAACGTATACAAGAATGCACTTTTCCGTTGTGCAAAAATACTGACAAATCCGTTGGTGATAGGATTGTCGTCGCCTTAGTTGTCTGCCAGATGCTGGTTCAAGCTGTCAGTGGGGCTGGTGCTCTGGTCACTAAGCCATCAGGAGCTGTGTTGTTGGAGGTGATTGCACAACAAACAGGTCCAAACATTTTACAGAAGCTATGGTTTCCAGCTAACATCATGTCTAAAGCTACTTTATTATTCTAGGCCATTCAAGACAAGTCTCATTTCATCCAATAACTCAGGTCTTCATTTGTAGCACCTGTTATTAAATGCAGTTTTATCCAATCAACATTTTATTATTGTCCACAAATTCAACTGTGATCTGATTCTGGAATTCAAGATCATCTGGCACCCTCCTTGGCACCTCCATAGCATCCTTTTCACTTATTTATGTGACCTTCAAACTAATGTAGATCTGTCTTCCTTCTTAAGGCTTTCTCTGGTGGTGTTTATTCCTGGTGATGTGATCTTAATTACCAGTAATTGTGTCTACTGTTAACCGCATCAGTGTCTTAGGTAAACCGCGAGTTTCCCCTGAGGAATCAGTGTAGTTCTTAACACAAATAAATTCTTAGCTTATTCGATCTTTTCCCCACATGGCTGCTGTTGGAAAAAACTCCTGAAGATGTTCCTCTGGATCTCTTAGTGAATTTGGTCTCAGTAGTTCAACACGTATCAACACATTATATAGGGGCGAAGTATCTGAAACTAAAGGAAAAAACACTACAGGACATATCATTTACCCCCACCAGGGACAGCTCTGGATGTAACTTTCAAAAAATGCTCCCATCCCTGATGGTCTCTGGAGGGATGACGTCATCAAACAGAATAACCGTTCTATATGTGGCAGTGCCACAGTGATGCTTCAGGTTGGAAACTCATGTTGAGGAGGAGAACATAACCAGTGGGTCAACGGTTGAGACCCTGCCCTTCATAGTTTACTCTCCCTCATAGATTGACACAACCTCTCCACTTGTTGTGTGGATTCACTTGGATTCAAGGACGATCTCAGCTCTGTTTGGTGTGAAATAGAAACATTACATACAAGAACTTCTAGCCTCCTAAATACAATTTTTATTATTATATATACCTTTCAACCGAGACAATGGTGTAGTTGTCTGAATAGGCACAATTCTATGAAATGGTGAACTTCTCTCTCCTCCTTCTGTCCAGATGTTCCCCGTGAATGTGTCTAATGCTGCTTACTTGGTAATGATTGGTCATTGCAACCGAACAGTGATAATCAAAAGTTCTTTTCATGGGCTTAGTTGGGGGTTCGCTGTCTTGTCTTGATTTAAGAGTTAGTGAAGGGGGAAGCAGGATGTGCCGAGCAGGCAGACACGAGTCTGACAGGATGGGGAGTCAGTTTCTGTCCTGGCTGAGGAATGCAAGGTCTGCAGGTCAACTAGCAGATTTGCCAGCCTAAGGGGGGTTTAGAGACACACCAACACTATTCAACATACACACTCTGTTCGTTGATGTTTACGTTAAGTCAGGAGTCTGGACATTGGATGTGACCGGATCTTTAGATGCGGGAGGTGGAAGGTCCTCCTCTACGCCAGTTTAGGGCCAATAGAAATCTTTCCTTCTCTGTCTTTCAAGGGTTATAAAACATGATGTTCTTGCTGATGTTAGTTAGTTGTTCTTCCGGCCTGTGTGCTGCCTGAACTGCTCCTGCCTTTGCAAACGCAGCGCTGATACTTGACCTGTGATCTGACAAATAAATCTCCCAGAACGAGAGAAGTTGTTTGGCTGAATTTTTGATAATCCCGGCCAGGCTTCAATTCAATTCAATATCCTTGGCATTTGTTTGTTTGCTTCCTGAATGTGGTGGAAATTTGTGAATTTAGCCCATGTGATAAATCAAAAGTATCTCGAGCTTACTTTGTGATTAAGTATTTATTACTAACTAGAATATAGAAAAATGATAAAGAATACAGAAATCATCAGCACAAGCCGTAAGCACAGACAGAAGTCAAATGACTACAATTCAGCTGAAAAGGGACAGAATGTTCCTTCCCCCAAAAGGAGCAGGAAGATCTGACAAAGTTTCTATGGGGGACCAGGAGCTTTTATACATCTCTGAAGGTTCGAGGAATGGTAACCAGATGTTGTTTTGGAAACCTCTGCGACCCTCTCTTAGTGGGACCAAGTCAATCATTTTGACGGACAGGAAAACAGAGGAGAAAGGTAAATAGAAGAACATGATATGGTCTGTCCAAGCCACATATGGATTTCATCGTAGACTAGGTCAGGTCACGAGTTTCCCAAGAAAGGTCACATACGAGTTCTTGAGACTCTCACAATATGTACCTCAACAAATTCTCCCCCGACACTGAACATTCTTTACCATAAGTGTTGTTGTCAGCTGTTTGGTCAGATGACACGTAGCTATCATCCTATACGTGTGATTAAGCTTCACGCTCCCTCTTTGGTCCTCGGATCACCTCAGCTCCTGTGAGCAGACTGCTCTGCAAACCGGAGGTCCCATTAGGACAAGATTCCCCAATTGGCTGTTGAATAGAGAAGCACAAGTGGTGCAGCTATGTGTGTGTGTGTGTGTGTGTGTGTGTGTGTGTGTGTGTGTAGTTGTGTCTCAATGTGTGTGTGTGTGTGTGTGTGCTCTCGCAATTCCTGTTGCTCTTCACTCTGGTTTGCCAAACTCTTCAAGCAATCAAGTTCTACCACCTAGTATGTGCACATTTAAACATAGCTGGAAGTCAACATTTTACCCAATTATTCCCCAGTTTTAGCTATTTCTTTTAATGTGGAGTAATTGTATCATCTGTGTGTCTCATCAGTCCTTGTGTCTGTGAATGAGAAGAGCAATGTCATTACACATTCGTTCCAGGAAGAAAAGTCAGGTTGGTTCCTCCTGCGTTGGCCATCGTCTGCTGTTATCTCAAAAATGCCACTTGAGTATCTAAACTCTCATCCGGTGTTTTGCTAAAACCATTCTAGTCAATTTGGGAGTCGTTTCTATGATAGAAAGACTAATTGTTCTTCTTAACACTTTAAATCAATGACATCTACACATCTCTGTTGTTTAGAACCTTATGATTGTGTTTTACACTCCATCCAATCATTCCCAACTTGGCAGATACTTGATAGTTGTATTCTGTTCTCCCCCA